GGTAGACAGTGTCAAGAGTGATTAAATATTGCCAAAGAATGTTACATATCAGCTAACTAATGCTAACCATAATATAGGTCGAGAAAGATTGCCCCGGGTGCATTCAGACAGTTATATATGGTTATATAACTACTGCCTTCACTAGCAATGCATGCTCACCACATCACATTACAAAGATAACACAGATTATTCCCTAATCAGTGCTTTGTTGATAACTGTAAGTGCCTGATAAATTATGACTTGAATATAGCTTAAGCAGATTTTTGTATAGCTGGCATTTCTCTTTTTCAGATAATGCATTCAGAAAAGTTTTGCAACAGCAGCAAAGAGAGAATTTGTGTTTTCATTTGCAACACTTTGGAGATGCTCTGTTCTGTCTAGACTGCAGAATTGTTGACAATTTAACCAACTGAACCGCCTGCACTAAGCAATATTATATATGAATTTATTCAAATTTATTGTAACAATGAGGAGAACGTCTGAGTTTCTTTCTTTCATTTATGGTTTGGTATGTAGCTCTGTTTTACATGTCTTTGCATGTCACACAAAAAATGAACTATCTAATATGGCATGGCATGTTTTCTATAACAGTAGTGAGGAAAAAGAGCTGTAAATGAGGTCTGCAAACATAACTTTGTTTGACCATTACCTTATGAATATAAAAAGGAAGGAATTTAATTTGGATTGGAGGCCAACACATCCATATTGAAGGGATTTTAGGGCTAATAGTGGTGCTTATGTCCTGAAAGTGCCCTCTCATCGTTTCTCATTTTGAAGGGAAATATTTGAACTACTTAATAAGTGGCTGCTGACCACATACCCAAGGGCCTATTTTTAGCCTACGTCAGCACTTGCTGTTAAAAGACAGAGGGAATGGTGGTTCAAGTATGAGAAATTATCCTACCTGTGCCAAACTTATATGGAATACACAACAAATAAACAAAAAAGGGAAAATGGCTTGGGAGAGAGATTTTACTCACTGCTGATGGTTGAGCATCGTGATTTAGCATAATGTTTAATGTGCAGGATCGCCTTAGAGACTTAGGTGAAGACGATATAAGTGAAGCTAATAGAATAAGCTTGCCTCCTAACATAAAGTTATTCTGAGTAAAAAGATGTGAATGAAAGTACAAGATCCGTACAGGAAAAATAACAACACCTGGGCACAAAATTCCAAAGTCTGACTTTTTACTCTATTGCCCCTCCACTTTTATATAGGATCATTTTTTGATTATGTACATCCTTACAAAGATGCTACTCTCCAGCTCAACCACACTTAAATATTACTCCAAAGGGATAGACTGGGGATTAAAATGCAACAGCAGGAGGTCTTAACAGTTTCTCTCCTCTGCTTAAACTCTTTACCCTCTTAAGAATTCTACTTCCTGTTCTGAGCTGGTATTACTGTTAACAAAGTCTAGCCTTAAGTGTAGGGGGAATTTTTTGAAGGATTCATAATTCTTAGACTTTTCTTAGAGTTTCATCACTAGGAGCATTTTGTTTTACGAATATGGCTACAAATCTCTGTAGCAGCAATGTCTTACTTTGCATAAAACATACATGGTGATGAAATTTATAGTGTTAAAGTAGCAATATTAGAATTAGTAGTATTATTTGAAGTAGACAAGCTGAACTTCTGAAATTCCTTCAGTATATGTCCCCCCTGTTGATCTGGATTCCCAAAGTCGTAGAACAAAAATTAAATCATGAATACTGCATCACCTGCCCTTACTGGTGGTTTGATATCCTTCTAGCTAATCTCTTCTCATCTTGAAGTGTCTACTGAAGACATCTGTGTCATAGTTAGAAGTTCAGAAAGGACCCTGATTGCTCTTTTTTCCATCATTAATTCTGTAACTATTACATAAATGGCTACAGCTTCCTCTACTCCACAATCAAGCAGCGCCTTGATGCGGAGGTGAAAATCAGCAGCTTTCTTATTCCTTCCTCATTTTCTTGCTTGTAATCAGCGAGAAGGAGAGAAGGAGACAAAGGAAGGAAAAGACGAGTTGAAGTGGAGGGTTGTGTTATCCAGCACCCAATGGTTTATTGATCCTTTCGGGGCCTCTCCAACCTTCTCTTCACATCATAGTGGAGTAAATTGGACTGTTTTCTTCTGTAGTGATTGACGCCTGATGTCTGCGGGCTATGTTTTTAAACTTGCATTGATATTTCCAGCAGACTGAAATTACTGTTTTCAGTCTACTCTGGCATTCTTTAGAATGATACAATTCTTTGAGTGCATACAGTGTCTGAGCTGACAGGTGACGAGTGTTAAGCTAAACAACCTACAGTGCATTGTGACAACTCTGTCAACAAAAAAAAACAAAGGGAGACGATGACAAATGGCGCTTCTGTCACTTATCGCAAAGACTAACAAAACAGCACAACCCAGTCCAAGCATGAAATCGTGTGTGGAAGGAAATCCTTTGTTTCAAAAAAGATCTAGTGTTGCAGACTGAGTGCAAAGAAAGATTCAGCACCGTTTTGTGGTTCAGGCCTTTGTTTTAATGTCTCTGTGGGCAGGATGTGCTCCACTGGAAGGCGAGGCATCTATGTCTGGACATACCCAAGTAGATTGTTATTATGAATTCTCTTACAATCATGGCTTCTCTTAATCTCTCTATTTGTCCTTGTCTAGTTGAAATGCTGTTTTCAGAATGAATTTATTCTCACCGTTACCTTGTGAGTCCACAGGATGCGAACAGCTAAATAATGCTGCTTTCTTTCCTGCACATGTTCTCTCTCCCTAAACCTGCTGTTGAAACTTAATGTTAGTTGCCATGATTGAACAATATGTGTTTATTATATTTCCCAGATTATTCAAATGACACTGGTGACTTTTTTAGACCTTAGCCACAGAGCCAGAAACTTCGACACTAACTGGTATTGGTTAAGGCTTTGGTCATGCCACTGGGTACAACCACTGTTTGCATTGTTTTGTTGTTTTAGAGGAAGTGACAGCTTCACTGTCAAGGTTAAGAAGACCTCCCTGGATGATTAGAGAACTCTAACTTTTGTCCGTAGCACCAATTGTTTTCAAGCTCAAGCTGAAACCTTTTCCCCCTTTTTGTTCTTTTCTCTTAATACTAATCGCTATCATCATTATGTGTGGATTTTTAAAGCTAAAATTTGAAAACCATCTGAAACCAGTCATGGTAATTTTTTTAATATTTTACCCAAAGCTGGGTAGTTGTTAACTTGGATACACTACAATTTAGTTTAGACAACTCTAAACTAAATTGTAGTGTATCCAAACTTCAAATAGCAAACTTCAAATCCTGTCAACCCAGGTAATAACAGGTCGGTATTTAAACTGAAACAGATATTCAGAAATATTTATTTATTTGTAAATAATTCATTACTCTGTACGTGCTTTTCATGTCAGCCTCGGATCCGGCGTTGAGGGCATATCGCCATGTTGTCCAAGCTACTGGAAACCTCAGTTTACCCCTTCCTTAGTTCCCGGTTCAACTACTAACTTTAAACCAGTCTCTCATCTGCTAATTATCAGTGGTTGCAGAATATCCCTGGGGTCTGATCAGCACCTAGCATCTCATAAGCCAACCCACCACTCAATCCTGTGGTGCCTCATACTGCTGATTAAGGGATCTGAGCCCATACAAAAATAACTCACCTCTAACTCACCTCCAGAGTCCTCCCCTCTCCTCATTTCTTGATTGAAAAATCTTCAGTTCACTTGGATGTATCTTCCACACATCATTAAAGAACAACCTAATACAGTGATCAGTACTCTTGTGGAAGTAACAGCATCCTCTAAGTAAAACTGATTTTAATCACTGAAGCATAGTGTTCTGGTTCATCACAGTTCATCTAGCTACTTTAAGAAAAACATAGCTGGGATTCTGCTAATGAGAGCCCTTAGCAGACTCATTTTTCATTTGTAAGCACAAAGGAAAGAGTCAGGAGCCCAGTCTGGTATTAATAAATCTGCAGATCAGATTTCTCCCTGCATCTGAAAGCTTGATCGGCTCCATCACAGGCTTTCTAATCAATGCTGATGGATGACGACCATGAACACTGTGAAATCTCAACATTTTCTTATCTTATCCTCAACCAGCAATAAAATGCCCATAACACCATTATTTCATTGATAGTGCATTTTTCTTTCTCTTGAGAAACTTTTGGTTATTAACTGGAGATTATGTATCGGAATTTCAGGAGCAGGACCACGCCTCCAAACACGCTCCTTCTGGTTGTCATCTATATAGGTTCCCCCTGTTCTGCAAGCTGTTCATTCTCGTTTACGTACCCCACCCTCCCTCCCTCCTTGTTCTCAATTCTTTAACTTCTTCATTTCTATCTAGTGCATGGGGATCTGCCAGGCCCGGGAGCCATCGCCAGTCCCCTCCGAGGCTTCCCCAAACCGCAGCTCAATTCATGTCAAAGCATTCACTTTTACCTACTAAAACGCTGTCAAACCTAAGATGAGGACGTCGGCCCAGCTAGTGAATTTCAATTATGAGGTCATTTATTAATATACATCGAGCAGATTCCCTTAGATTTGTGTACTACGCACAATCACTCATGCAAGTTGTGATAAATCACTGGAAGAACTGATGTTCTCCAACAGCATTACTGCAACTATAGAGTATTAATCATAAAGGGGCAGATTATTACCTGTCCCCCATCCATCTTTTGCTTGTGACATCGCAGGGTCTAAACAAACAATCGCATGTTGGTATTATCCACAATGTGCGTCAAGTTTGTCTGTAGGCACAGACAAACTGTTGTTATGCATCCTTGGCTGGCGCCAAACAACTGGTATTTTTCTACTGTAGTTTAAGATAAAACCATGATTTATTTGAAGACACGGCGAGTGAAAATGAGGTCCTCTCTACGTGTACACAGGTATTTTAGTAAACTTAGCTTATTCTTGTTTTAGTTGGGTAAAAACTGAGCTTTTGAAAAACTCCCTACAGGGTGGAGGAAGGACACCGTGCTTGTGACTGACAAGATTTTCTTTGTTTGTTCTGCAGCATCTCCAACTGTCCCTCCGCTACACTCGGAGCATTTCAAGCCCTGTCATGAGAAGGACTTGGCCTACTGCCTAAATGGTGGTGAATGCTTTGTCATCGAGACACTCAGCGGGCCTCACAAACACTGCAAGTAAGTGATAATTTATTGAAATACCTCTGCTTCTTTCCTTTCTTATGTTCTCTTTCCTGCATCCACAGCCTTTGCATTCTCCAGAGATTTATGTTGTGTCTGCTCGGTATATGGTTTGTTGTTCTGACATTTAGCTGTATACTTTGGATTAGATACTTGGTATATCATCATGCTACATATATTAAAAGTGATAATCAGTTAAAGGACATGCATACAAAATAGGCAGTTTTTCCTGTCTCTTTTCTAAAGGATAGATGGGTTAGGTTTTGTTCAGTGGTGCATATCTGGTGTAAATATGTGTGACGCAGCTATACACCAAATTAGGGCAGAGCAATATGGCCAAAAATATTTATCACGATATACATTTGAAAATTTGCGATAACGATATAACTGACGATACAATTGACACGAGACAAGATACTTTACAACTCCACAACTTTATTAGTGCAACCCCCCCATTAAACCTTTAAAGCCGGTCGGAGCGGGCACGCTCCGTTTTGCGTAACTATTTTTAAATCCTGGTAGAACTGCAACCACATAAGCTAGCGCAATAATTTTTTTTTGCATATGAAACCGGAGGAGTTGTACTTACATCTTATGCCTTCAGCTTGTCCTCGGTCACGGTTTCCTTCCACATATAGCTTTGAAAGAAATTGCATATTAACCACTTGCAGCAACAAAAACATAATATTCCAGAAACATGTTTTGCTGATCCGAGCAGCTGTTCGTAACACTTCCTACCTCAGAATAGACATCAGCGCAAACTACTGCATGTCCGCCATTACCTGCCTGGAACTGGAAGTGACGTCATTTTCGCAGAAATGTAGTTTTTTTTTTTACCTTCAGGGCCTTATAAGACTATACTGGTGTTTTTAAAAGTTATGTTTGACTTTATGACTTTCTGTGTCATTTCTGGGATGCTTAGAACTCAAATTGCACTGCTGGAAATAGTTTATTTTGATGCATATGCTGTTTTTTTTCAAATTTGCATTATAATATTTATTTTCGTTTTTCCTGCAGTATATAAAAATTGGTGTATTTCAAAAAAAAAACTATGAAGACACTCAAAATTAATTTCCTGTGGTGGGAAACTATTTTGTGCAACTTTTTTGTATTTACAGTTTTGAGGGATAAGCCTCTTAAATTTCTCTAACTAGAATTTTTGTTAAAAAGACAAAACGATTTTCAATTTTTTGTAGTTTATTGCACTTTTTGCAATTTATGTAATTACTATGCACTTAATGCAGACATATTATTAAAATTTGGGCTATAATGATTGTATTGATGTATAGCAACTTCAAATGCTCCCAAAAATGGCACTAAAAAATGTAAAAATATAATATAAGCTCTGGCAGACTTGACTCTATGGTAGGTCTTAAAGGGTTAATGTATTTTCACTTGAACAAGCAGCAGTTTTTTTATGTGCATTAAAGCTATATAAAAAACTTAACAGTGCAAATGCAAATTCCTTGCTGACAGTTTAACTAAAAGATATTTCCAGTGGAAATTGGCCCTACATATCCTCAGCATAACGATGTATAATATCCACATAACTTAAAAAGAGGTTATACACACACAATACGGTAATATTATGTTAAAGCAAAGTCCATATTACTGAATAGGGTAGCCGTAATGCTCCAACAATCAATCAAGTGGTATGGCTTCATAGCTTCGTACTAAAACATTTTTTGACAGATCTTTGAGCGCCGTGTACCACATAACATCGGTTCGAGGTCAGTAAACACAACCAGAATTCATACATGAGGTGCACCAGATTATAAGGGGCTCTGTCGATTTTTCAGAAAATCAAAGGATTGATCTTAAGTGTGCCGTATTTTCCGAAAAACACGGTAATAACGACCGCCCGCTAGCATGCTCTGTCAAACATTGTGCTTTGGTGTGTATCTGATGGACGAAAGCCAAACCAGTTCCACAACCACTGAAGTTGCACATTTTTACAAACCAATTCTGGTTCATCCGTTTCATTCAACTATCTGCTTTCACCCATCTCATTCTCCGTCGCTGCCATGCTTTTCCACCATGTGCGTATGAAAACAAAGGCACTGCGAATGCATGTTTTACCCATATTCTATCGCGATATTTAATTTTCTTATCATTGCCTAACATTATACCAGTATTACTGTGAATGGTATGATATGGCCCAGCCCTACACCAAATATAATAAAATATGCAACAAGTTAGAGAAAGAATCTCCCTGCCAAACACTCAGATCACCTCATCGAGAGGTTCGCAAGATGATTCTGTTTCTTTCTTTAAAGATAGAAGCTTTTATTCACAGTGGTTAACGTGAACAAATGATTGGAGTCTTAGAGGTCAAGACCTAAAAATGCAGCACACTCTCCTCCAATCCACTCTGCTGTTTAGTGTTAAACAAATACTACTAATTTCTCAACAACGGCTAATTATGCTTCTTCCTGGTTTCACCTCCTCCTGCCCCAAAAGCTCTGCAGGTAGTCGCATATTGAATGATCTACTGGTTAAGGAAGGTTTGTGAGATACTGAACGTGCACACCAATGACTATAAATGATGTGAATCTATGCTGGCAACTGCCACCCACTGTGAAGGGGTAAGCTAAGAAAAAAATCCAGTGAATGTAGTGTATTTGATATTGTAGCAGCATCTGTAGGGACTGCTTCTTTATTTGACGTACTTTATCAAAAGATTCTTGCATCTTTGTCTTCCTGCTATGTGTCTGTGAGCATTGTATTAATATCTACGTGCACCTTATTTGTCCCAGATTTGAGAGTAGAGCTCTTGGGCATTTAGCCCCTTTTAAATGTGGGGCCTTTTACTAATTAAGTCCCAGAACAACTTCTTCCAAAATCTAACCTCCGGACTTCCATCCGACCTCCTTTTCAAAGAGTGTGTTTTCCAGCCCTGAGCTACGACTATACATCCATACGCATGTGAAAGTGTGCATGTGAGCATCCACAAATGAGGAGGGATTCTACTCAAGCAATGGAAGACTCGCTAAGCTGGAAAAATAAGATCAAAATGAATATGAGATGCAGTGGTCATTGTGCATTTGAACACCACACATGCACTCGGTCTCTTACACAAAAACAACAAACCACAATACTGTGAGAAGTCATCTCACATGGGAAATTTGTTATTTTCTGTTTACAAGTCTGCTTGCATGCTGCTGGCCAGTAATCAGTAGCCGGTCTCAAGTTGAACATCTGCAGGCAGTTACAGTTTAGACTCACAGATTTCGGCCAACAAATGGACTGTTATCATGCTTATGGGGTCAACAGAGCTACGGAGAATCAGACAGCAGGATTTGGACTTTACAGATAAATTATGCTGCTTTTTGGGAAGGGGGGTTAATTTTTTTCTGGAATAGGTTATTTGCCATATAAAATATGGTTCAGATATTAGAGGTTGCCCTAAATTGGTTAGCCACTTCTGTAGTTTTCAGTTGATTATGCACTGTGAGGTTTAGTAAAAACTCCACCAAGCCCAGAACAATCTGTTTTTTTTTTCTCTTCTATTACAAGAACAGTGTTGTAGCTTGAACTATGATAAGAAAAGCACAGAAAAGAGAAAATGGGTGAGAAAGACCAAGGTGTAGGTGGATGAGGAGTTGGAGATGGGGGAGGACTGTTGTCCTCCCCGGCTCGCTTCTGTTGCCATGACAACCCAATAATCTGTGGACAAGCTCAGCTGTTAAAGAGAGGAGGGTTGTAATGTATGCCGGGACTGCCTTGATCAGGCTGCCTGCTAATGTTAATGCTTGTGAGGTAGAGAACAGCAGAGAGCTTAATCGCGTGGCAGCGAGCTTTCTAAAGGAATTGTATGGACCATCGAGCAATACGACATTCACTCTGGATCTGAATAATAGCTGGTATGACAAAGCAGTAAAACTAAGTGTGTTGCTTAAAAGATAACATTTGGAGTTTAGAAAGGATCATCTTTAATATTTAGGAACTGGTTAGACTAAGATAATGCTTCATAGGAATACTTCAGAAGTTGATCTACTTCCTGAGTGAGGCCTTTAAATATTACAAACCATATAAAAGAGGATACATTTTGTTTCAGCTTACTCGCTTTGAGACATTAATTTATCATCATCAACAAAAGAATGATGAATTTCACCGCAGGCGTGAGATCAATGCATAATCTGATTCAATTTGTGTTTACAACAAATTGAGACAAATCCACTTATAAAAGTGTGATCAATTCAGACAGTAAATGGGGATAAATTGAGCCAGTTTGTGGCATTATTTGCCACCGAATTAATCATTTTTTGTTAGTAAGACGAAACCTGATCCTTTTTGCAATGATTTCCTCCTACGAGTATCAAGTGGCATTCCCAGCCAGCTGTAAAACAGGTGTAGATTGTCCCCGGGAGCATTGTTTAGCGCTGACACTGTGTGCAACACTCGCGTTTGCCATCCTTATGGGATGGCTGCAGAGTCAGAAGGAGATGTGAGTCATAAGGACTGCTCGTCCTCTCACACAGAGACCCACCGTGCATACATGCCAGTGCTCCATGCTTTGGGCAACATAGTCAGGCATTCATTAGTGCTCAGCTAACCAGGAAATTAGTCACTGTGCTAAGATAATATTTTAAGAACATGGCAAGAGGCCAATGCACTGAGTTTTAAAAGTATGTGATACTGAATTTGATTAATTACTTTTTGAGCTAAGCGTGATTTTTTTTCTGAAGAGGACCAAAGGTCTAATAATAGCTTTGGTGTAATTACTGCTTCAAACAATGTCTGTTTAAATATCTTTCTGACCATTTTTCCTAAACACTTTTACAGTCATTTATCTCTTTATTCTTATCCTCTGATTTTAGAGAGAACTGTTGGCCCCGAGTAACGATTCTGCTATACGCTGATTCCTACTGAGCCAGCGATCCAGGAAATTTCACTTCACCGCTTCTTTCTTGGAACAGTTTATTTATTCTGTCTTCAGAGTTGCATGCAATGAATTTGGTTTCTGGACAGTTTAGTATTTATTTCCTTCTGCCAGA